GTGATGGACATCCTTCAGTTTTCAAAGAACTCTTTGAACGGTGTACTTTAAATAGAAACCACTTGCTACTTGTTAACCTGGAAATATGATCCACAACCAATTCATTTGCAACCTATGTTTGCCTGCTATTGTTTTGTTAGTTTTTGTGTGTATTTTTTTTTCTAGTGAATTTTGGCAGGATACTGATGTTCGTTTGCCGTCTTATTTTAGTGTATCTATAATGAGTGGAGAGGCTTCTTTTCATGGGCTGGTGATCTGTATTCAATATTTCCAAGAGTCCGGAAGGACCAACAGTCATCCTCTTTGAGAATGGTAATGTGAAAATTTTCCAGCAACACAGGTCTCTTGAATTTTGCTAGTGCCTTTAATTTCACCAGTGAAGCACAAAAGAGATATTGAGTCAGTATTGCTAATATTTGTCAATTTTCTTTTTTTGCCATAAATTCTGCTAGGTTATGTGAAAATATTTTGTAGGAAGCTGTAATTCTAGAATTTTTAATGCTTTATTTATCTGCTTTGATCATTTCCTTCCACTCTAATTTAACGTTCTCATCTAGGATTTTTATGCTCTCTATTTGACATCTTTGGAGGTATATCGTACTCGTGTACAAGGTAAGGTTCTGAATAGGAAGAATAACATGCTGAGATGTCCAGACTGGATGTTCCTCAAATGATCACACTTTTAGTGCAAACCATCTCAAATTTAAGAAGCAAGGCTTGAGTGAGTGTTTCTTTAATAAATGACTCGTAGTCAGTGGTGGATCTAGAATTTTAAGGTTGTGGGTGCTAGACACAGTGATGGATACAACCTTGACGCTACGGGTTCAACCAAAACCATATATATAAAAATAAATATTAATTCAAATTCATAATCTAAAAGTTATAATGGGGTAAGTGCTCAGTTGCTATACAATTTTAATTGGGGAAGAAAATGGTTTAAACGATATCCTCTTTTCTTACTTTGTCTCTGCATAAACGATATCTTCTTCTCTTATCTGGCTTGTGTTTCGGTTGCAAATTTCTCTGCATAAAAGTTTTTCCTACTTGTTATCTTTACATCTAGTTAATACGCTCCATATTTGTAGCTGCTGCTCTTTTGCCTGCTAATACGTGTTGTGTAGCTCTCTTTGTCTTCATAATATAAGCTTTTGTGCTTCTCTATCTTCGACTCAGGTTCCTTTTGTTCTTGAAACTGGCTCTCTTTGTTTTCATAATATAAGCTTTTGTGCTTCTCTATCTTCGACTCAGGTTCCTTTTGTTCTTGAAACTGGCTCTCTTTGTTTTCATAATATAAGCTCTTGTGCTTCTCTATCTTCGACTCAGGTTCCTTTTGTTTTTGTTGAAACTGGGAAGTGGCCGCAACCGGAATATGTTAATGTAAATATGGATGGCTCAAGGCATCCCCTACCTCTTGTGACAGTTTATCATCACTTGCGGCCTTTACATGCTACGCCTCTCACTTTCCTCCAGGCACTCTTTGGTCATCACTATCCAGTGAGTTGAAAAATATGTTGTGTATATGGGCTTCTTGACCATTTGTGATTGCTTATACAACTTTTAAAGTTTGTCTTTCTTCCTGCAACTCATGTAACATATTGTTTTCTGTCACAAAGGTTGGAGTATTGGATGAAGAAAAAATTCTACCACTTGGAAAAGATATAACCGCTGTTGGTGTTTGCAGTTCAAAAGATGGGATTTTGGAGATCAAATCATGCGAGGACCTACCCTATTTCTTGTAAGGAAGGTTTACAAAGTAGTTCTCTTAATAAATTGATAAAGCATGACACTCTTCTTTCCATGAGACTTTATGATACTTCATTTTCATCTGTCACTAGCTAAACAAGTTGTTCTACCAAATGAGGTTGACTATTGTCATTATCATATTCATTAATTTTTCCCCCGAAATTTCCTCAAACCTCTCTGGGATAAATTGTCTTTTTGTTGACTCTAAATGTGAAGTAAGTCTCCTTATCTTATTGGTGAAATTGATTACTTGATATTCAACAGGTCCTCTTAAAGTATGAATCTAATCATGTATAAAAGATATATGAGCTGGGTTAGGAAGGAAGGTTAAGAGAGATCCTATGAAGAAAAATGTTTTTCTAAATTATAAATAATGGTTTAAATGAGCATCACACCATTATTGCGAAGAATACAAGTTTACCTTACTCCAAAAAAATGGTTTAAATGAGAAGAAATGAAAATTCTTGAATCTGACCCCGCATTAAAGAATATATTAAATGTTTTCTTAAATACCACATCTACATTTCTTATGAGCATTATTATTTGAGCCACAACTTCTATTTAACAGAAACATAACAATCTCTTCTTCTCTACACTTCTGGTTATAATTATCACAGGCTTTGTAGTGTTACTAGGTCATAGTCATTGGTAGACTATATGACAAAACTAACATGAGTTGGTTCTTATGAGATGGTTTTAAAATTTTAAATGAAGTTTCCTGAGATTTTGACATTTGCGCTCAAACATGATAAGATTTTTTGTCAGTTCCATTATGGAAGAATTACCATGAGTTTTGAAACATTTTTGGGTGGCACACTCATTGGTAGGTTTGAATAATAGAGTGCATGCCCTGTCCTGGTGATGATCTTGATTAAGCTGATACACATGTTGATATACACAGTAAAGTATTTGTCTATCTACAAATTGCACATGTATATATATTTTCTGCTTGGAGCATGTGGTTCTTTTAATATCTAACTTCTAATCATGTGTTTTCTGCATTTTTGATGCTTTATATCTTCAAACATATGTTACATATCTGATACTTTATATAAGATGATTCCCTTGTTTTAAAATCTTGGTGTTCTTTTGTTTTCCTGATTAATTTCTTTTGTTGAAATTTGTGAGTGTTAATTTTTTACTTTGGTAGGTCTGACATGACGAAGGATCAAATGCTGGTAGACCTTGCCTTCAAAACAAAAGTTCTGATGTGGAGTGGAGTTGTGTTTGGTTCAGTTGCAGTTGGTGTTCTTGGCTATGCTGTTGTGAGGTAAACTGGTTGCGTCTCTCACACACTTGAACTTTTAGCCTTTGTGGATATCATGCCTTCAAGATCTCATTGTTATGCTCTTTTTTCTTCTTTGTCCTTTTCCCCTGTCATGGACTGGAGTTGTGGGGAGGTCTAGGTAGGGACAAAATCCTTAATTGTTTCATATCGTATTTTACGATTCTGTTTACCGAGCATGAGTTAGGGTTGTAGGAACCTGCTATTGAGTGGTTACCTGTTAAATAATCATGTCATCCACATCTGTCCCAGAATTGGTGGATTCCTTTCCCTACTTCATCTGCAATTTATCTCGCGGCTGCATCAAATGAGTCAACTTATAATAACTACGACGTGAACTTCAAATCCTACTGGGGTAGAGGGCTGGTTGATTGATTTGGATTACAATTGTTGCCATAGCGTGTATGCAATTATTTGATACATATTACTTTATGGAACTTGTGTGATGTAGACAAGTGTACTTGCATTCTATTAAATTAAGGGAGTATAGTTTTATCTTTGATGCAATTGAGGTTTGAGTAGGACCATCATCACGTGCCAAAAAGAATAATGCATCTAGCTACCTTAAGCATGAAAGAATCATGATGGGTGCATATTTCAGATGAGCAGAACCTTGAAATTGGCTTACATATTCTAGACCACAAGACTGAAAACAGAAAAAAAAAAAAAAAAAAGGGAGATATGCCAGTTTGAAAGGAAAACAGGGTGAAAAAGTTTATGGCCAAATCTTCTTTGTCAAGTTTTAAAGTTCTCTTTGTTTCTTATATTTGGAAAAACATGTTTTACTCTTTTCTCTTCTTTCTCTTCTTTCAAATCTTTGAATTTTTTTTTCAAGTTTTTTGGCCAAAAATATGTTGCTTGCTCTCTTTGGAAATTTGTCAATGGCTATTGATTTACACGGTGCCTCTCTTGTGTTTATGTTGCACGTCTCATCCTGATGAAAAAGGTTGGGTTGAAGGATTGTCCAAATCCTCGTGTGAATAGTTCTTCTGCTTGTTTAGTTATTTTTATGGGGCTAATCTCCGAAATTATACAGCAAGCACCTTCTTTTGCTGGTCCAAACTCTCTTAATCATGCAACATGGCAGTAGTTATGGTTCCTTATGGTGTTTAAAGCTTTAACTTCCGTTGCTTATACCAGCTCGAACAATCCACTACGGGCTGGAAAAAGCATAGACTTTGCTCAGGATGAGCATAAACTTGTAACTCTAGTTGTGCTGCCTAAAAATTCCTTAACCTCCCACATGGCATGAATAAAAAAGCTAAATGAAACTTGTTTATCAGCAGCATTGTTATCAGTATTTACTCTAGTGGTCGCATTTTCTCATTGGTATTTATATGTTTTAGGAACTGGAATCGATGGAAGCAGTGGAGACACCAGAGGCAGGCCCAGCAACAAAGGGGTTCTGCAAGCAATGACGATGATTTGCAGGTTACTGCTGATGAGGAAACTGGAGACGTTCCCGATGGTCAGTTGTGTGTGATATGCCTTATGAGGAGGAAGCGCTCAGCATTCGTTCCGTGTGGACACCTGGTATGTTGCCAGCGCTGTGCCTTGTCAGTTGAACGTGATTTAGCACCCAAGTGTCCTTTATGTAGGCAGACAATTCATAGTTCTGTAAGGATATATGATTCTTGAGGAGCAAATAGTTATGAGTTAGTTTGAGTAGCTGATGCTGGGAAGGTGGCTGTGCATTTGTAAAGCATGCGATGAAAACTACATTGACTGTCTCATGGGAGGATGGTGGTGGATGTTCCGAGGGGATTAGATACTAGAATCTAACATGCATTTTGTTTGTCTGTACATACATTTTTTTGCTGACTAATTGTTGTACCCTTAAACACAATATTCATTACAATGCTAGGGAGTCATTTTGCTAAAAAAGCTTGAGTTCTAAACACTCGGTTATTTCATCAAAACACACAATTATTACACATCTATATATTCTTATAGGTACATGACCACCTTGCCTAGAATCAAATTCTTAATGAATTTGACTATTTTTTGACTTGTTGCCTCTGCAAATGCACTATCTGAACCTGTGTCAAAGCACAGCTAATGAAGATACTTCCAGACACTAGATTTACCACTAGACTTTTGACTCGGTTCATGCTTAAAAGCCTTGTGCATCTCATGTGTTGGGATCTATCTTCCATAATGAACAAAATGAAACAGGATCTCCTTTCCACCACAGTCCAACACAGCCATCCTTCTCATCAACTCTCATCTCCCAGTTGTTGTCATACTTCTTCAACAATGCACGAGCTCTATCAATGGCATCATCTCCAAACATCTTCCATACGAAACCAACAGTCCTCATTCTTTCACACCATTTCTCCTTTGTCTCATTCATCTCTCCCATGTTTGTCAAAGCCTTTGCTGCTTCTCCTTCCATCATCCTCCTTCCATCGCTCTCACGTCCTTTGTATGCTACACTGGTGGAGTCCAAGAACTTCCACAAGTACTCCACTCGCCTTGAGAATCTTGTTGTGAAGTCCCCGCAACTGTTGCAGCTGCAATCCATGTTGTTCTCACTGAAAACCAGTCCTTTTGGCTCCAAACTCTTTAGTCTTTTCAACAACTCTGTCCTCTCGTCTGGATTGTTGTGTTTCAAGTTATGGAGTCTGAACTGTGCACAAATAACCAAGATTTCATCTGGGGATGAATTTATCACTTGGGAATCAAGATTCTGAAGTGGGTAATTTTCCAGTCTGTTGATTTGTAGATTGATGTTAATAGCCTTGGCAAAGGCAAGGAGTTGCACCGAAAAGTTGTAACCACCTGGACCAACTACAAATGGACTATTTCTTTGTTGATCATCTTCTATGGTAGGTGTTATTACTGTTAGACGAACCAATGGTGGCGGACCTCCTGCTCTATGGGTCAACTCCTCAAGCAACGTTGGCCATTGGACACCATGAGAAACTCCAATATCAAGAATGTGTAGGTTCTGGGATGAATCGTGTTTCCCAAGAATTTGGAGTATTGAGGAGTTTGCAATGCTATTGGGTATGCGGAACCAGGGACTGATCTCATTGAAGTTGATCAGTGAGTTCTTGAAGAACTTTGGATTTGTTGAAGCAAAAGTAGCAACACCACCAGCAGAAACAGAAGATAGTGAAGTTGGGCATGGAGTAGAAAGATAATACTTTAGCGCCTGGAGTCCACGAGCAGCCAACCGATGGTTGGCATCTCCGTTTAGTGAGGAGAGCTCGCGCAGAACGTACAACAAGTGCTGCACACGGTTCAGATTTCCTGCAGTAATTGCAGCAGCACAAGGGTTAAGTAACTGCTCTGCCCATCTTCCTTCTCTGTTGTTACCATTATTTCCTGTGGACTTGTGTGTTGCTTTCTTGTGTCCTGTTGATCTTCTTTTATCTGCATCATTGATCCGACGGTTCTGATTCTTCCGGGACGCCTTGGGATTGTAACCGGAATCATTCCCTTTCCTTTTCTTGGATGAATCCAATGGCGAAGGGTGACTTGAAATGACCGGTTCCAAAGAGACAGTGCTCGCGGCTGTGACAGGGAAGCTAGTGTCGAAGCACGTTAAACTGTTATTGTTATTGTTATTGATATGTATTTCTTGGTTTATACTCTCACTAGGAGCCCACCACGAGTCCTCGTAAATATCATCGAGGCTATATGACTCATCGAATAAATCATCGATGCTATATGACTCATCGAGTAACGACGGAAAATATGATAAGGGACTATCCAGCCACTCTGAGATGGGATCAGAAGTAGGTTCATCAATGTTCATTGTATCACAGATTGAGGAAGAAGGGTGGTGGGGAAGGATGGCTTGATGTTGGTGTTTGATCATTGACTTAATAGAAAGTATATGCAAATATGGGATATGATATGTTTGTTAATTGTTATAATGGCTCAAGTTTCAAAGTGCTAAAGCTATAATAGTTCAAAATGGAATCAAAAGGGATTTTGCTTTGGGAAGAGACACAGCATGGCATATTTAAAGGGAAAAAGTGTACTGTTGTTTTGTACGTTATGGTGTTTCATTGGGATTCCTTTAGAGTATGATAGCCTAATCATTGACACTAAGTGAACGTTTGGACATGCCATTTAATCTCGCAATTTGAAATTATGAAATGAAATCAGCGTTTGGACAGATGAAATCTCAAATTTTTCAAAAAGCTTGATTTGAGAATTTTATATCACGATTTCACATTTTTCAAATATCATTTTATGTTTACCAATCATTTATTTCATATGTAAACAAAATTTATAGTTGATATTATTACTCTTACCAACCTTTAAAGTTTAAACAATTTATATCGGTTATAATCATTACACTCGACAATTTTACTCTTATCAACCTTTAAAGCATTTATATTGAGAAATGCATGCTCAATGTGACAAGATTGTTTGTACTATGTGGAAGGACATGTTCAATTTTACTTTTTTATTGAACTAAAGTTCGACTAATAAATGTTGTGTCTTTTTAGAATAACTTTGTGATAATGTATCATATTTTTGTTATGAACTTTTGCTTATTTGATAAGATTGTATAAAGGATTGAGACAATTGACATAGTTTACTCAACTTATGGGGTTTTATGTTTATGAGCAAAAAATACAACTTAAAAATTCAAATTTCATCATTTACTTTAGAAAAATAAGTTCTTTAAAAATAAAAGAAAACGACTTTCCTAATGGAACCAAGGAAAACAAGTTGCATAAGTAGAATTCCAAGTTTATTGTCTCCTTATCACCCATCTATTTCCCGAACCCCCACTCCTTGATCATCCCACCCCCTTGAACCTTCACTTTTCATTCCATTTCGGCTCCATAATATTTTGCTACATAAAATATAAATGTACTGGGAATAGTATTTTCTTGCTTATTTACCAAACACTAAAAAATAAGTAAAAAGTCTTTAAAAAGTTATTTTACCTAAAAATATTTTTCTTCATACCAAACACACCCCTTATTTATTTTCTTGTAAACAGTAAGTAAACAAAGGGTTATTATTTCAAGAACATTTGTATAGTATATTTAGATAAACGCTATAAAAACGAAGTGAATGTAGGAAAGTTGGGGGTGCGGGTTGAAGGGTCAGTGGAGACCATTAACGTAGAATGACACTTATTGAACTGATTTTTTTTCTATTTTTATAAAGGAATTCAACTTTTTCGACTTTTAATGAATTTCTTTTTTTTTTTGAGAAAATATTTTGAAAAATTAATACCACACACATCCTTAGGGTCGTTCGATAGCTAGTTTAGATATAAATTATGTAGGTATTATATTTTGCATACATAAAATTACTATGTTTGATAGCTGATTAGGAGGTAAATTATTCATGTATAAGATATATACTGTATTTGGTTTGCAATTTAAAAATTCGCATAACTAATACATACATAAGTTATGAAGAATTTATATATTATTTATACATAGTATAATACTATATAATGACTAATACAAAAATAATTGATCCTTATATAATTAATTCTTATATAAAATAATATATAAATTCACTCATAATTAATTCTTACGTTACCAACATCTACACTACCAAAAGACCCTAAATCTTTTGTGTGATTTGCTTCTCTGATTGACTTATTCTGTGGAGGTGTCACAGATGTTGGAGTTTTACAACACTTCTTTCTTTCAAGAACTTGGGATTGTGAAAGGTTTTGAGTTTCAAATTTCAATAAGATGATGTCAATCTATTTTTCTATAAAAAAATATTTTTCATTTAGTGTTGGATATTTATATTAAAATTTGACTATTTTAAATTTATATCGAGTAGGACTTTATTTGGGGTGAAGTATTCTTTATAAAAAAAACAATTATATTCAAAATTTGAATTTGAAACCTTTAGTTAAAAAACGAATAGCCTCATCCACTGCACCATATTCTTTGATTGTAGAAGACGGCAATCTCTTCATTGTGATTAAAATAATTTTGAGTTTTTGTCTGCTGAGTGTCTTCATCTTATAGGTAATTACATGATGCATTTGGGCACTTTCGAAGAATCAAATTGACTAACAAACGAACTAGTAGTTGTCAATTCCGATTTGGTCTATGTTTTTTTTTGAAAAAGAAATATAAGATCAAATTTCACAAAAATAGAGTGTATATATATTTTATTCTTATATGAGAGGTAGAGAGCCTTATTTCCAATAAATTCTCGATGAATTTATATTTTTTTATCCTATAAAAATAAACCCGATACAATCTCATACCTTAATTTTATCTTAGAGGTAGAAAGTCTATTACTTATAGATCTTCAATCGGTAATAAAAATATACTCGATGTAATTCAACAAAGTGAAATCTGAGGATGATAGAGTGTATACAGACCTTACTCTTATCTTAGAGATAAAAAATCTATTTTTGATACTCTCAATCGGTCTATGCTTGCTTTATAAAGATATACCTGGTGTAATTTCATAAAATGTTATCTGAAAATAATACTGTATACATATATGTTACTCTTACTTTATAGGTAGAGAATCTATTTATTTTTTTATAGATACTTGACTAATTTATGTTTTTTGTTTGTTGGATCAATGCCAACTTGACTTGCTCCCTCCCATCAATTTATGTGAAGGTATTTAATTGGATATAAAAATAGATTAAGAACAAAATGAAGACTTTTAAAATTTTGGTCCAAAATAAAGCATAAATGTTTGTGACTAAATCATCTCATTTACGTAACATAGGAAGTTTAAGGTCAAAATATTAGAACTAAATAAAAAATGTGTCATTTTATTTAGACTAATTTTTAAAAAATTAAATTAATTTTGACAGTAATAAATAGGAAAAAGTACATAGTATGCAAATCTGTGATATGTATTTATTAAATATAACTATAGTTAAAAAAATTACAGTTCATAGTTATAGTTATAATTATATAGCAAATTTATCTCTTCCTCTTTTCTCTCTTTCTACCCTTTCTCGCTCGCCTCTATCTTCATCTCTCTGTATTTTCAGCCTAATGTGACGTTCTAGATTGCAATAGAAGGTGTATTTTGCTTTGTGTGTGTTTATCAATTGTATTCTGTCAAATATAGGTGAGACATGGTTGAAACCTTTCTTATTCCTCTTCTCCTCTTTGATTTCATACTTAGACTCTCACTATGCAGAAAGGGATGCAATATTCATATAATATGTATCAATCACAGCGGTGGATCTACAACTAAGTAAGGGTGGTCAGTCAAACACCTTTCACAGAAAAATTAAATTGCATAAAATTTTCTTTAATATTCAAATATTAAAAAATGAACACTCTTATATAAAACAGAAGTTGTTTTTCAGACGGTAAGCATAATCATTTAAATCATTGAGGTCTTGGATTCGATCCTTGCTTGTTATGTTTTAACACAATTTTTTTAAAATAAAATAAAAAATACCCACCCATGTATCTCTATGTTTCTAGGCTCTTGCCTTAAACTTCTACTACACTTAATTCAATGAATTGATTAACCTAATAATTAAGATTTTTTTAAATATATTTTCAATCAATATTAAATGAATCATTAGGTATAACACATTCTCAAGAAATTATTTTTAAAGATAAATATTAAAATTAAAGATTAGTTTTCTTTATTATTCTTTTGATTATTTCTAAACCATCTTTTAGAAAATATAAAATAGTAAAGAATCTTATTAAAAGAAAAGGGTAAGTATGAAAAAAAAATAGTTCCAACAATTCTCTTGGACTTTGAAAAATTCAATTACTTTGAAAAAAATTCAACAATTCATTTAACATGAACTAGAGGAAGTCTATTCAACTAGTTGCTAACATTGTTTTTGTTGACTTTTCTCCGTTAGTTTGATTTATACCATTGATAATTTTATAATTTTAAATTTTCGTATGATTTAGTTATTAAATAATATGTAATTTAATTTTTAAATTTGGATGATGCACTCACTCATCAGTAAAGAAATTGTGCACCCACTCCGCTAAAAAAAATTATTCACTCTTTTAAAGTTTGAACACTCTTGACGAAATTTTTAGCTCCGTCACTAATCAATCGTACTCTAAAAGAGTATACAACACATGATACAGAGCCAATATTACACAAAGAACAAATACACTTGACAAAATTGTATTCATTAATATAAATTATATTCATTGATACAATCTGATACAATTTGATATAGTTATATTCAATGATATAATCTTATTCATTGATAAACCTCGTATTTGTTAATATACTTGATATAATTGTATTCATTGATACAAATCAATTATATTAAGTATATTCATGATACTACCTGATACAATCTTTTATCTCATCTCTCTATTTAAATCTCTCTCATTTATCTCCTCTCTTTTCAATCTCACTTGCTTCTCTCCTTGATTCTGCAACTTGGACACCAATCATTACATGTAGGATCCAAAAACAATACTGTGTATTACATGTCCAATTATATGCCTGATTTTATTTTTTAATTGCACGTTGTTCTATTCAAAGGTAAAAAAACTTATCTTTAAAAAGTGTCCGACAGATGCAATCTATGTCAATTCATGATTGGACATATTTTAGGATACGGTTAAACATATTCCTATCATATGAAAAATGACTCACAAATAGTTTCGATTTATTTTACTTATTCAATATAATTAAATTTGATATATGTGACTTTAAGGACTAATAAGTAATTTTATCTTATCACTTTTTGAATATAATTAGTTTAGTGTATTGAAAAGTAACTATAGTTATTTATAAAAGCAAGTAAATTATCTTTTAGTTTTCTAAACTGAAGAAATAAAAATGAATATATTGTTTTAATCTAATGAATAAGTAAAGGTGAACGAAAAAAAAAAAATTTCATCCATTTTTCTATTCAAGAATACTCTAAAAATTAACATCCTAAATTTGATGATTTTTTCTCTTTTTCAAAAAAATTATTATATAGTGTATTATGATTGATTATATATTATTATTTAATGTAAAAATTAAATCCATCAATTTCTTTAATACATATTCACATAACATTTTGATACTACACTTGCGAATCGTGATTCATGAAGGTGTCAGGGCTGGAAAAGAGTTTGCTAAGAATGGAATAATTACAAATTCCACCTCATCTGATAATGCTGAGTTTCATTATAATAATTCAATAT